GCGCCCGTCGCCCTCGCCACCGCGCTGGTTCGATGCCGGGCCGTGCGTTTGGCGGTGCACACCCGAGGCCGCTTGGGTACACGCTCCATGACCGTCGGCCGGAGCGTTTAGAGGAGCCGGGAGTGACTGCCGTTTGCCGCGCACTTTCTGTGACGCACACGCTGAGCTACGTGCTTTCAGTAGTTGGCCTTACTCCTTTAATCCTGTGAACTCGGAATTACATACCCGTATTTGCCAGATGAGGACACTACGTGTCTCCAGAGCAGCTCAGTAAGAATTTCTTCACGGCGGGGAAGGGGCTTTTGTTCAATCAGAAAGGTTTCTAAAGAAGGGACACCTTTCCCCAGGTGGAATTCTCTCTCCTTGGGGCCTTGCTGCTTTTTGGTGTGTGCTTTCATTCTTCCTTGTAAAGTAATTTGTTGTTTATGTCCTTCTCCATTTTGAAAACTCTTGAAAGTTGAAACTGAGTCTTTTTCATCTCTTCAGGTTGCTGATAGTTTTCTCGGCACACGTTTACCAAGCACTGGAAGAGGGCAGGGATTGTGTTGGGTGCTGAGGATTCTGTGGTGAACGCTTGAGCCAGACGAATAAAAGGACAATCAGAATAACTGTTAAATGCTAAGACGGAGTTACGGGAACACCCATGGAGGGGCTGGGGGGGGGCGGGTCAGAGAGAAAAGCCTGGTTTGTTAGGGACTGCAAATAGTTCAGAATGGCTACAGTGGAGAGAGGTGAGAAGCGGATGCAGAGCGGGAGATGGCAGACTTTTCCAGTGAAAGGCTAGATAGTAAATATTTTAGGTTTCGTGGGACATCCTTGTTACTGACCTAGGGTCCCCTCACCCTACTGGGAGCCAACCCAGTCTCCTGACACTGGCTTGTGGTGAAGGAAATTGCAGGGCGCCAGGCAAGGAGAACAGGCAACTGATGCTCAAATAGAACCTCTCCCGATGGCTTTCAGGCAAAGGTTCTTAAAGGCAGCATTAGGGGTGACGGTCACAGTGTGTGTGATCAGCTCTTGGACGTTTTTGTGATTGGTTGATGGTGAGGTAACAGGTGATGTTTAGTGAATCATCAACCTTCTGGTTTCAACCATCCTGGTTGGTGTCTTAAGTGCTTGTGTTCAGCAGGTAGTCAACATCCTGTCCCAGGTAGGGATCTTAGTTTTTGCAGAATAATTCAAAGCTGTACACCGGATTGTTATCTGTAGCCTTTCAGAAGGAACTAGGGAGCCCTGTGGCTATTGTTCTAATCATTAAATGCTTGAGACTGCTGTTTGGAACTTGGGGAAGGCCACGTAAGAAATAGGAGACATGAGAGGCTTGTACCCAGGAAGACCCTGCAGGGTCTTGCTTTGTTTCAGTCACCCCTTTTTGATACTCCTCAATCCTGAAGGGAAGAGGGGCTGGACAAGAAAGGGAATAAAGTTTAGGATAAGAGCAGTTAATCGTAAACTCTGCGGGGGAACTCGGTTTCATCCTTGCTTGGTCACAGCTACTCAACTTGTAGCTCAAGAGGAGCCGTAGATGGTACGAATGGGGGTGGTGGGGTGGGGCTGTGTTCCAATAAAACTTTATGGACACTGAAGTGTGAATTTCATATAGTTTTCAGTGTCCTGAAAGATCATTCATCATATGATTTTTTTTTGACCATTAAAAACGTAAACACCTTAAACTGCAAACTGTACAAAAAACAGGCAGTGGACTGAATTTGGGTGGCTGTGGCAGTGTGCCTTCTGATCTAAAAAGCTAAATGGGGCATGATGGCTTGTGTTAAACACCTTGGGCTTTGTCTGTAGTACTTTGTGCAGAGTCGTAGATGGGTTTGAAGCAAGGACAGTACATGCATAGGAAGGATGAGTTTTAGAAAGACCTCTAGCTGTTAAGTGGTAAATGAATTGTAGAGATCAGCGGTGGAGGCTTGGAGACCAGACGGGAATCTTTGATAATAGCCTAAAGTAATAGTAGTCGACTGGGTGGACAGATTCAAGAGGTAATGGAGGGAGAGCCAACAGTAGGATTTAGAGATTGATTGGAATCTGGGTGGACGAAGGAGAAGACGCAAGGCTAGCTTCTAGGCTTTGGGTTTGGAGAATTGTGGCATACGGTGGTGCCACTTAAATGATCTGAGAGAATTAGAGGGGTCTTTTGAAGAGGGGGAACATTAAATTTTGGACATGTGAATTTTGAAGTGTCTGTGGAAAAATACAGGCTTGGAGCTATAGATCTGGAAATTATGCTGGCTTGCTTTTAAAGGAGAGATTGAACAGCAGTGATAGTACATGTATTTACTTACGACTTGAGTAATTTGGGGGAAGAATCCTCTGATTCTCTGCTGCTCTGGGAGTTGTTTAGGCCTTGGAAGACCTTGGCAGATCAGATAAGGGCAGGTCTTCATGGTCCTTCCTGTCTGTCGAGTGCCGCCACGTCTGAGTGCTGCCAGCTGACTGTCTAGGTCTTCCCATTGATTACTTGGTTCTTCAAGACCAGCAAAATGCAAGTCACTGCCCCAGTATCATGAGCTGTTTAGCTTTGAGTGCCTGTGTTCTTCTAGATAATCAGGATTTCACAACAGTTTTTTTTTCTTTTACAAAAATGTCAATTATATAAAAACGTAGGATAACAAAGTTCTAGCTATTTCTAGCCAGTAGTTTTAAAGGTCAAAGATGTTTAAACCCTCATGATATCACAGTTCTGAGAACTATTTTTACAGTCATTTCCTGCAGATTTTAGGACTGCAAGTATTTACAAACCAGCCTCTCAGATACTTACCGTAAATGTATTAAGAATGTGAGTCTCTTCCTGTTGAATAAGGTAAGTCTGATGTCTGTTGTGGTTGCTTTAACATTCTCATCTCGTTCCTCCCTTACTCTATAGCAGTGATGTGGTTTAGGAACTGACCCCTTCTTCAGAGGTGGGTCTGGTTTAAGGCTGATCAGTGATTACTGCGGTGATTGATTCAAGGGTCAACAGGCCTAGACTAATCAAGAAATCAGAATATTCCTTCAGCCAGAGATGGGTTCAAGAATAGGCATGTGACTCATTCAGGGCCAATAAGCAAGAAACGTTTTTCTGCAGATTCCTGGGAAAGAAGTTTCATCAAATTTACTACAGTGCTTTATGAAGCAACACTGTTCTCAGCATTATCCTTCTGAACGAAATGAAGTAAGAAAACAGTGTAAGAGAATCACAGAACAGCCAGAGTCCTGATCGAACCATGCCTGAATACCACCCCTCCTCTCTACTGTCAAATGACAAAAATAAAACAATCTAGCAACGAGTGTGATGTCCTTTATTCAAGGGGAAACAATCTATGGATTGGGGGGATACACTGCCTCACAAGCAGTGCAGCTCTCTCCCTGAGGGATGTTTGGGCAAGAGTGAATCTTACAGTGTCTGAAGCAGCAGTGAGGAAGGCTAGGAGATCAGGGATTTCCTTATAAGGCTAGCATTTCAGTCGGGGAATAAGGAGAGAGTATTTGGCTTAAGTTGATTGCCTGGGGTTGCATATCGGAAACAAGGAAATCATTACAGATTCTTGGCAGTTGGGGATTGGCTGGCTGGATATACTGCACTTGTGGTCAAGCAGAGCATTTATAGGAACAAGAAAATTACCAAAGTTTGGGTTTGCTGACATGGCACCCCAGGCAGGAGCATCTCCATCTTGGGCCTAGAAATTGATTTCCACACTACTTTCTGTTACATCATTCAGTTAATCCCCTTTGTTGTTGATAAAATTAGTGGAGTTGGGGTTTCTGTTTCTTATATATTCATAGCAGAAGTTACCAGCGTATAGATGGAAATTAAAGATACAGGAATAGATGAGCTCACCTGATGGATGTATATAGAGTGACAGCAACAATTCTTGTGGAGAGAGAGCTGAGGAATAGCAATTGGCTGGCAACTGACACTGAGAAGGAGCAGCCAGAGAGGAAGGGAAAAAACTGGGTGCTTCAGAAGATAAACATGATCAAAATTGTTACAGGCTGCAGAGAGGTCAACTGAGATAATGCTTGACAGTGATTTAGCAACAAGGAGGTCATCAAGGGTCACTGAGGTGGTGGTGGAGGACGTATGCTGTTTATAATGAGAGGAAGGGATGGGGGATGAGGAAATGAATACTTAAGTTGCCCAACTCTCACTCAAATACTTGATCAGATGAACTGTGCTTCTATTTAGACTCAGGCTGAGAAGAAAAGTGGATTGTCTAAGGCTATCGAGCTCTGCTTCAAAGAAGGTAAAATGGGGCAATTCAGACCTGCCATTTATGGACCTATTTACCAGCTGGCCAGCATGATAAATACTTACATGAGCTCATGTCTTCATCAGATAAGTCTGAAGTATCCTGCTATTTTTATGGAGGAAAGAGAGCTTTCCCAAATAAAAGATGTGTCAGACTCCAAAGACCATGCTTCTTCTATCTTTGGGTGCTCAGGAGACAGGCTTACGGCATCCAGGACCAGCAAGAGAAAAGGGATTAAGCATTTCATGATGGTGATGGCAGAGAATTAAGCCAGGGTGGGGCCCGTGCAGCTGCATAAGTGGCCTATCCCCCAAGCTGGCACTCAGTGCATCCAGCCTCAGGACATCCCGAGAAAATCAGTTCTAACTACTGATGATTCAGGAACTCTTGTCAAAATAAAATTCAGAGAAATGTGAACACAGAGAGATTTTTACAAGCAGTGCAAGGGAACCAGGCTTTCAGAAATAGTGGCTCATCAGAAAGAGTAAGAGGAATTTACAGCTCCGATGATAAGTTCAGATACGGCAGTTGACAGCTCAGGTTGGACAAGAACAAGATATCCCTGTCTTTGGTAAGGGAAACAGGATGTTCTTGTTTTTGTGGCTTATCTTGGGAGGCAAAGCTTCTAGGACTTCCTGTTTGTCAAGGCTTTTAGGAGGTTACAGTTATTCGTGGTTTATCTTGGAATGCAAGGTTACTAGGAACAGAAGTCTTTTCTGGCGCATGATCAGTGATTTGTGGGCAGGGCTGGGCAAAGGGCAAGATGTCATTTTCCCTCTCTTGCCTCTTTGCTTGTGTGTCCACTTTGCTGTAGTTTCCTCTAGCTTAGACCCTCCTCCATTTCCTTCCCTCATCCTAATCATACAAAGAAAACTTCATATTGTTTGTTCCTCTGGGTAGGTTACGTAAGAATATAAGCAATATTACTTTCCTTAAATCATGCTATTAATTCCTACTGTGTGTATAAAAATATAAGTATATATATCTATATATAAAATGGTTAAGTATATCTCATGCTATATGTACGTGAATCTTGGGTCAATAAGAACATGCAGATGGCAATAAATGGCTCAAACATCTTTACATGTCATATCTGAAAATACAAGAATTGACTATGAGTTAGGTTCCTCATTCTTAAGCCATACTGCTTATATTTGGATTCAAAATAGCAATTGCTCTTCTAATATTAATTTTCAATTCAGTATAACATATACATCACTGTCTATTACCAACCCCGTATCACTTCAGTTGGCTGTTGTTAGAGTGGCCAGACTAGGCCCAAGATGGAGTCATTTATGCTAAGCCCACATCTGCAAAGCAGAGATTAACTAAGTTGCTATGCTTTGCTCTCCCCAAGACAGAAGACTTAGGCCAGGCAGTCAACACTTTCCTGCTCAGCACAAGGTACTTGACCTGGCTCCAGGATTTTGCTTTGCTGCATATAATGGATGTAACCCTGCTTTAACCAAGCAGATGCCCAGTATAACTTCCTTATTTCTCCTTGCTTTGGTCTGTAAACATTTCTTGCCTTGTATGGCTCTTTGGGGCTCCTTTCTGTCTGCTAGATTAGATGCTGCCCATTCATGAATTGCTCAATAAAAGCCTACTTATCAGTAAGTTGTCTCTGGAAAATGTTCTTTTAACAGTGTCAGTGACAACTGTGAATGTTTATAGGGTGGTCAGAGGCATGCCTTGCACTCAGTCAGTATTTCACTAGTTCTAACTCATATAATCCTCAAAGTAACCCTGATTGGTAGGTATTGTTAACATTATCACCCATTTTCCAGATGAGGAAACAGAGGTCCAAAGAGATTAAGAAACATGCCAAGTCCACATGGCTTATCGGTAGTAAAGCTGGGATTTGAAGCCAAGCAATCGGGCTGTAGAGCTGGGTTCTTAAGCCCACTGTTAGGAGCTACATGCAAAAGGATCCAAATGGACGGCTTCCTCACACCATATACAAAAATAACTCAAAATGGATTAAAGACTTAAATGTGAGACCTGAAACCATAAAAATCTTGGAAGAAAACATAAGCAGTATGCACTTGGCCATTGGTCCTAGCAAGATTTTGTGGAGTACGTCCCCTCAGGCACAGGAAATAAAAGCAAAAATAAACAAATGGGACTACGTAAAACTAAAAAGCTTTTGCATAGCAAAAGAAACTATCAATGAAATGAAAAGGCCACTTACTAAATATAAAGATATTTGTATATAATACATGCAATAAGGAATTAATATCTAAAAGATACAGAACTCATACAACTCAACAGCAAAAAACCAAAAAAAGCCAATTAAAAAATGAGCAGAGGACATGAACAGATATTTTTCCAAAGAAGACACATAGATGACCAACAGATACATGAAAAGATGCTCAACATCTCTAATTATCAGGGAAATACAAATCAAAATCACCTCACACCTGTCAGAATGGTATTAACCAAAGATAAGTAACAAGGGTTGGTGAGGATGTGGAGAAAAAAGAACCCTCATGCACTATTGGTGGGAATGTAAATTGGTGCAGCCACTATGGAAAAGACTAAAGAGATTCCTCAAAAAATTAAAAACAGAACTAGCATATGACCCAACAATCCCACTCCTAGGTGTTTATCCAAAGAGAACAAAAACACTAAATCAAAAAATATATATACACCCTTATGTTTACTGCAGCATTATTTACAGTAGCCAAGGTATGGAAGCAATCTAAGTGCTTATCAATAGATGAATGGATAAAGACGTGGTATAAAAAGTACTGAATTCTCGGGAGGATGGGTATATAGCTCAGTGGTACAGCACATGCTTAGCAATTGTGAGGTCCTGGATTCAATCCCCAGTATTTCCACTGGGAAAAAATATATATTGTCATTTGGGACAACATAGATGAACTTACAGGATATTGTGCTAAATGAAATTAAGCCAGACAGAGAAAGAAATATAGTATAATTTCATTTATATGTGGAATCTAAAAACCAAAACAAATGAACAAATATAACAAAATGAAACAGAGTCATAGCCACAGAAGGGAGGAGAAGAGAAGTATGTGAGGGACGTTAAGAGGTACAAGTTTCTAGTTATGAAATAAATGAGCCATTGGTATGAAGTGTACATTGTGGGGATTATAGTTAATAATTGAATAACATCTTTGTATGGTGGTAAGTAGTAAATATGTCATGGTGCTCATTTTGAAATATATAGAAATACTGAATCACTATGTTGTGTAACGAACTAACATAGTGTTGTAAGTCAATTATACTTCAAAAACAAACCCATAGAAAAAGAGATCAAATTTGTGGTTACCAAAGACAGTGGGTGGGGAGGAAGAATTCGATGAAGGCACTTAAATGGTACAAACTTCCAGGTATGAGGTAAATAAGTACTAGGGTTGTAAATACAACATGATAAATAGAATTATCACTGCTGAATGTTATATATGAAAGTTGTTATGAGAGTAAATTTTAAGAGTTTTCATCATAGGGAAAAATTTTGTTCTATTTCTTGACTGTTGGATCTCACGAAATGATAGCTGTTCACTAAACTTACTGTGGTAATCATTTCATAATGTAAGTCAAATCATTATGCCGTACACCTTAAACTTATACAGTGCTGTGTGTCAATCATGTCTCAATAAAATTGGGAGAAAAAATAAGAAAGTCTTGCTATTGTGATGCTGTCAATTTCTCCCTTTATATTTGTTAATATTTGCTTTATATATTTAGGTGCTCCTAAGTTGGGAGCATATATTTACAATTATTATCTTGTTGGATTGATTCCTTTATCATTATATAATATCCTTCTTTGTCTTTTGGTACAGTCTTTTTTTTAAGTGTATTTTGTCTGATATTGTATTGTTACCCGGGCCTTCTTTTCCTTTCCTTTTACATGGAATACCTTTTCCATCCCCTCACGTTGAGTCTGTGTGTGTAGTTAGACCTGAAGTGAGTCTCTTGGAGGCAGCGTATAAGTGGGTCTAGCTTTCGTATCCATTGAGCCACCCTGTGTCTTTCAATTGAAGCATTTAGTCATTTACATTTCATTATTAA